CCAACCGGCTCGTGAGCGACACCTGTGGAAGATCTCGCGCACTCGATGTTTGGAAAGTTCAAAAGTCTCTCGGCAGGCGCTAAATCCTGCGTTCGACAACAAGTGTCTTCCTTCACCGCGGCAGGGCACCGGCGCGATTTGCCGAGCTCGAGACCCTCGTCGAGCGCGTCGACGGCGAGAGGGCCGAGGCCGTCGAGGCCAAGACGGCACAGGAGGAGGCCGTCGAGGCGCTCGAGGCGAGGCTCGCGGCCGCCGTCGACGAGATGGAGGCGCTGTCCGACCGCGTCGAGGCCGTCACGGCAGCCAAGGCCCGCGAGGTCGCCGCCCTGAACCGGCAGGCCGGCAAGGCGCTCGCCGTGCGGGACGCGCGCGTCGCCGAGCTGCGCGATGAGGTGGACCGGGTCAACGGCGCGCTGCGGGGTGCTTACGAGACGATCAAGGATCTCCGCGTCGACAAGGCCGGCGTCGAGAGAGACCTCGCGCGCGAGAAGGAGAGGGCCGAGGGCGTCATGGACGCCATGCGCGCCGAGCTCGAGAGGGTCGTCAGCGCGAGCCGCGAGATGCTGTCGCAGCAGCCGGCGGCGGGCGCCGATGGGGAGGAGCAAGGCGTGCTGTCGTCGCCCCTGAAGGGCGGCGTCGACGGCCGCCGCGGGCGTCTGCTGTCTGGCGACCTCGCGAGGCGGGCCTCGGGGCGGAAGAGGAGACGCCATGACAGCGGCATGGGGCTGCTGGAGGAGGATGAGGTGGACATTTGAGGTGGCATGGAGGCGGTTCATGTGTCGATAGGCCGTCGGTAGACGTACGTTCTTTGGATCTTTCCTTTTGTTATTCTTATCTTGGCCTGCATACTTAGGCGTTGGATCTAGACGAGTCATACGTTTGTTGATTTAGTCTGTGTAAGCTGCCTTTCGTGCGTTGCATGTGTGGTGTGGCGCTCGAGCGATACTTCTGCTGAGGATGGCGCAAACCACTGAAATGCGTGCTATCGTCGTATACTCTCTTCAGTATAATGCAAAGCTCATTTGATAGAGTGAGGGGAGATATCTTGCAGCGACCCATCGCCACCGCAGCCCAATGTCAGACAACGCCGCGGCGAACTCCCAGCAAAACCACTTACTCCCACTACCCATCATCGTCAGCAATGATCCCCTCCTTTTCGTCAGCAAAGACAAGTAACCGGCCCTCGTCAGCAACGACAAGTAATCGGCCCTCGTCAGCAACGACAAGTAACCGGCCCTCGTCAGCAATGACAAGTGACCCTCGTCGGCAATGACAACCCCCTAGCCATCCTTCGTCAGCCAGAGGCAAACAACCGGCTTCCCCCCCGGCTGCCCGTTCCTCGTCTCGTCCCAGCCAATCTCCTTGATCGACTTCTTCATCATGTCCTTCTCGTCGCCGCCAAAGCTGAGCCCCTTGTACCAGCGGCCGTTGCCGGCCTGCGCAATCTCGTAGCAGCGGTTCTTCTTGGGCGTCGGCCCGGACGCGCCGAAGCCCTTGAGGATCTCGGCGAGCGTCGTCGTCACGGGACGTGGCTCGCGTGGAACTCGACGCCCGTGCTCGGCGGCAGCTGCCACGGCGGCGTCGGCGTCTTGAAAGACGTGGATCTTGGTGTGCGCCGCGCTGAAGAAAGTAGTTGTAGCCCGGCTCGCAGCCGACGCCCGCCCGACGTGTTGGCCAGGTTGGCGGCCGGCATCGAGGCGGCGAGGGCCGGGAGGCCTGTCGCGTCGCGGCCGTACGTGTTGCCGGCGCCGTTAGGCTGGTAGTAGGGGTACTGGGCGTGGGGGGATGGGTACGGGTACGGGTACGGGTACGCATACGGGTAGGACGGCGGGTGGCCTGGTGAATTCTTGTGAGCATGGGGTTCCAACGGAGAGAAGGGGAGGGGGGTTGAGACGTACTGTAGCCTCCGTAGCCGCTGTACGGGGTGTGGCCGAGGCCGTAGATGCCCATGCCGTGGTGCGGGATGTAGGGCTGCCCGGAGGCGTACATCTGGCCGCCGAGGGGCGCGTCCGGGGGTGAGCCGCCTTGGGCGTCGAGCCCGAAGCGGGGGTTCATCTTGGTGGTGTTTGAATGTTGGATGTCAGTTGGCATGTGGGCGCCAGGTGTTGACCCAGCGGCGTGTTTCCGAGTTGTAATGGGTGAACCAAGACCCGCTGGCTTGAGGAGGTGCTGGTGGATAAGGCGAGTATGGAGATCTTGCAGGGCGAAGAACCAGAGGTTGGTGTGTGAAGGGATTCAAAGTAGTGGTACTGGGAGGTCTGGAATCAAACCGGCGTCTTTGATTGCTACGTGCTGCTCGCACGAAATTGGTGTTGGCGTTGTTGTTGTTCTGGGGGCGTAAAGTTGTGTCTGTGCAAAGGTTAGCAGACAAGAAGTAAAAGACAAACCATCATTCTTATATGAAAGACGAGAGGCGCAATAATTTACAATCATCGACCCAGTCTGTGATTCGAAAGTCGCCCCCTCGTGCCGGCACAGTCGACGTGAATCAGTCGCAGCACTTGACTAACTTAAGTACAAAAGGTGATTAGGGGGCTGCTGGCCCTCGTCAAACTCACCAGTCTCAGGACTGTACCCTCGAGGGTCGTTGTGGATCGCAAAAATCTCCGTGCTCCAGACCTTGTGGTTGTCTTTGTCGTAGAACGTACCTACGATAAGCCACGCCCAGAAGCGTGGGCGTGTTGACAAATACAGATACTGGCCGATGATGAGCTTCGTAGCGGGGTACGGGAGAGATGAACCCTGAGAGCCGGGTCTCTGGTGGGGATCCAGTTTGTCCGGAGGGTGCCTCGTGACACTCGTTCCCGTTTGATGATTGCCCGACTTGAGTCAAGTATGATTGATGATGTAGTGCAAATGTACTGGTGTAGATCTCGCGGCGGCGTTGTTCGTCTTGGCAAACCAAGCACTCTGGTATGTCCGTATGGGGGTCGTAGTTAAATACTAGCGCAATACCCTGGAGGTTCGTGATTCACGATACTGACAGCGCCTAGTCGTCCCACGAGAGCGTGAATCGGAGGCGCCTCTTTTTGGTTGGAGTTGACGGTACGAGAATCGGCGACAGCACTGACGCCAGAGGTTTGGCAAATTTGGGCGAGATCTTCCGATGGGGAGCTTCGAAGACCTGACTTATTTGTTTCCTCTCAGCTGAATGACATGGCGATATGACATGGGACCCCAACGAGCAGCGACCATAGGAGCAGCCGTGGTCCCACTTGACACTCGGCATTGCCCACCGGATGCCCTGGCGAGACCTTGTCAGAACCATCAGATCATTCTCTGTTTGTCATGATATATTGAGGCGTCGGACATGGCTGCAGCGAAGAAGATAGACGCTCGTGTATATCATGTAGCCACAAGTGGAGGCCCGGGCTGAGAGGCATTGATATGGTGAATCGTATTGCAAGCAGGTCAGCGACTCAGTCTGTTGTGGTCATCTCATAATAGTCCTCTACTTTGGCTCTGTGTCTCTCACGGCAACGACGTGGCATTTGTTGAGGCATACGTCGCCAGAATGCGGGCAGCCAAATTGGCCTCTCAAACACGAAAGGCTGCATGTCCCGCATTGCTTGAGAATCGCAGGTGCTTCTCCGTATGCAGTTTCGCAGCTCATTGATCGAGATCGAGACGTAAACCGCGTGCTCGGCTCTCAGCCGTCATCAGGATCCTCCACAATCCTCACAGCACCGCCCTTCTTCTGGCCCTCTGTTTCACGGCGGACGACCTTTCTACGCTCAATCTCCGTCACGAGGCCTTTCAGGTAAACCTCTGCCTGCACAGTGGCACTGTAGGAGAGAGCCGTCCAGCTCCATTTGTTCCTCCTCTCGGCATCAGCGCCGGCAGCGAGGAGTGTCCTGAGGACCAGCAGATTACCGTTGCCGCTCGCAAAGTGCAGAGCAGTGTTGCCATCGAGATCAGCAGTCTGCACGGCCTCTTCCGGGCCGTTAGGCGCATACGTCAGAAGAATCTGCAGCACAGTATCGTGGCCGCCGCGGCTGGCTTCCATGATCGCATCTCGTCTGTGCGCATCCCGCCTGTGTATGACTTTGGGGAACCGCTCACAGAGCAGGTGGACGACCTCGGTGCGGCCGGCGCCGGCTGCGAGCATAAGAGCTGTCTGGTGTTTCTCGTTCAGCGCAGGGTCGGGGTCTTCGTGACCGAGGTCGACGAGTACGCGGCAGACTTCGACATGGCCGAGGAAGGCGGCGAGGTGAAGGTTCGAGTTGGAGAGGCCTTCAGGGGAGGCATCGGGGCTGTGGAGGGCTTGGGGGTTCGAGTTGAGAATTCGTTTGACGAGCGATGCGTCGTTGGCAATGATCGCCCTGCGAACACGGGTGGTTGCTTCGATCCTAGGCGGCGCGAGTTAGCTGTGGTCATGGTCAAAAGGTCCGCGTGGTCCGATTGTGAGGGTAATTACGGACATCTTAGGGTCGAATGGGGGTGGCTGCCTGCAGTCGTGAGGGGTCGCATTGCGAGCAGAAGCCGCCTGCAGCTTGACAGTTTGGAGTGCAATGGAATTGAATCGCAATGACAAGCCTTCCGCCTGGTATCGAGTCGTGCGGAATGCCGGCGTCTAGGGGCACGCTTCCAGCTGGCGGACTTGATGACGGAAGGTCGTCCAGCGGCTGCGTCCTGATCACGAGCTTGGCCTGTGCTGGTGGGGGGGCTTTCCTCTCTGGAGGCCTGTGGATTAGGCGGGGGAGTGGCCCAAGCTCCCATGTCATCGCCCAAAGGTGCCTAACACACGTCTGAACTGTGATCCTTCAGTGGTATGGCCATGAACTCAAGGCAAGGTTACCTTATCTCGCGGCAGGTTGTGTTGTTTAAAGGATCAATTGCCCAGCTGATGGTGTTGTGGATGTACTGGAATCTCCGCTGCTGTCGGCTTGTTAGTATCATCAATGTGATGATGTTCTCGTGACAGCATCTGATAAGCTGCGTCGTCCATCCGAGTCCGTGAACACTGAGAAATGCCGAATAATACTTGTAGGGAGACTAGACTGGCTACTGCCAGCCATCTTGCCAATCCACAAGCTTACGCTTGTAGTTCTACCAAATGCCAGCACAATTACATGGCTTCCGCGAAAGAGATGCTACTTCTGATCGAATAGATATGCAATTAGACGGTGAGGCGGGGTCACTGCGCGGGGGCGGATCGATTCCGCACCAGTGCCGAAGACTCGAGCCAAATTCCTCTCGTCGGCCCAGCCCATCTTCATCCCCATCAATCCAACCGACAGTCGAATTCAACAATGGCGAAATCCAAGTCTCGAAAGCGAAAGCAGACGGCTCAGGCCGACCTGCCGAACAAGAATCTCAAGACCGTCAGCACCATCACGCCACCTCCCGATGGCGCGACACAGGAGCCCAAGAGTCTCCAGACCGTCGTTTCGGAGGAGGAACTCGAGATCACCGTCGAAACCCTGACGGCGCTCGCCCAATATCCAAACTTGATCAAGTCAAAGTTCTGCAAGGATCTTCGAGTCGCCGCCTACGACTTTCGCCAAGCCTGTGCCACGGGTGTCAACAGCGCTGGTACGTTCGACAACGATGAGAAATGGTAGTTGTACGGTGGCGAATAAAATTACTGACGTACTCTGCAGCAGCAGGAACGAGTCTGACGGCGCGGATCACAGCTGCACTTACGGATGGCAAATATATGGATGCGAGGATCATGTTGGCGGAAATGAGAATCAGGGGTGAGGAGCCCAAATTGGGTGCTTTGTGTCGCTGGGTTCGCGACCTCGATATGATCAGTGGTCTGTCGACATTGCCAGCAGGGCAAGGAACGGAAGTTGAAAGATCAGCGAGCGAACTCGAGATCCTCAGCGTTATGGACGGCGTCCTTCGCGTCACAGGGCCTGTTGATGCAAACATGGACGCTGCCACGCACCCAACCTCTCCGATGATTCTTCAAAAGATCTGGGATCTTCGACCCTCGACACCAAGCCTCAAAGTCCGAGCCTCAGTCCTCGATAAGTCCATATTCGACTCGGCACCACCAAACCTGGCAAAAGACCTGCGGGTCATCGAAGAGACACCAGGGCCCATGCGAAAGCCCCCAAACCATCATCCGGCAATCCTCTACACAACCGCCCCGAACGCGATTCCCCTCTCATCAACACCCCATGCCATCACCTATCATGACCATCCTACTGTCCCAAACCTTCACCTCGCCACAAATCTTCTCTCTCCTGATGAATGTAAAGCCATCATTGCTGCTGGCGAAACCGTCAACTTCTTGCCTGACGCACCTCTGCGGGAGGACGGCGACATCAGTATCTTGGCTCACAACTTCTACTGGGTCATCGATACTGCGTTCCACGACATTCTGTGGTCCCGCATCTCTCCCTACGTACCGTCAGCGGTAAATGGCCGTCTGGCCCGCGGATTGAACAGAAGATTCCGCGTCTACCGCTACGTCCCGGGCGCTGAATATCGCACACATATCGATGGGGCCTGGCCTCCGTCGGGCATCCTTGCTGATGATACGTACGTGTACGATGCATCGCCTCAGGAGAAGAAGCAGAGCTCGCTCTTCACCTTCCTCATCTACCTCAATGATGATTTCGAAGGTGGTGAGACGACCTTCTTTATGCCGGCGCAGCGAGAGGGCACGCTCAATGCTTATCCTGTGAAGCCAGTGATGGGCGGTGTAGCAATCTTCCCCCACGGCGAGACGCGGGGGGCGCTGCTTCATGAAGGGACGGGCGTGAGGAATGGCGCCAAGTATGTGATAAGAACGGACGTTGAATATGATGTTGAGCCTTCGGCTTAGGGTGTCGGAATACTTGCTGGGGAGTTTGAAATGAAAAGCGATTCTTTGGTCTACCAAGCTGAACACCACCCTGCTCGTGATATCTTTCTCCGATGAGTATCATGCGGGCGCTTTCAAAGAATTTCCTCGTCCTGAATTGCCTCTACTTTCTCGCTTTGATCTGCGGTAAACTGGACGATTCGTCTACGGTAATGGATGCACCACGACCAGGCAGTCTGACCCAAGTGAAAAGTTTACTGTCAGGCCTCGTCGACGAGGCACGCGCAGCCTTATTCAACTCACTGATCCAGCACCAAAACCGCCCGTCAAGTAACGAATTTTGCTCCCACTGTTACCTCTCTCCCAGCCTGCCCTGCCATGCATACCCGCATCGCGCCATGATTGGGTCAGTCTCTGCGCGCGCAAAGCTTCGGGGCTGAGCTGCATGAATGTCAGCCGCTGTGCGCCAGGGGCATGTGGATTGATACAAAGCTGCCGCAGACAGACCATACGTTCAGCTGCAGTTTGGGGGCCGAAGTGCCTGTGCAGTCGGGGCTTTGACTTGACCCGACTCCAGCTTCGGCGTCATTCCTTCCAAGACCCCTCATGCTTTTCACCACATCTTGTCATGGACTTGTTCTCATTTCTGTGACCTGAGGAATATATCGCTCGTAATGGATCCTCTGTCCATCGCTGCGAGCACCGCCGGATTGCTCACCCTCACGGCCCAAATCATAACGCGGGGCTATGCGTGCATGATGCGACTGAAGAGCAACGACGACGATGTCCGCACAGCCGTCAACGACGTCTCTAGCTTCTCGGGGATCCTCATGGCAATCGAGTCGCAATGCAAAGAGCGCGGTGACGACATTGCCTCGCCTATGAGTCACCTCATCATCAAGAATCAACCATTATGGAAGAAGAAGGTCGATGAGTGCGAAGCGGTGCTGGTGGAGATGCTTGAAATCCTGGGCACACTCACCAAGGCGAACAAGGCACAATTGCTTGTCAAGGGCAACAGCCTTTGGGAGAAGCTTCAGAAATCTACCACTCAGATCGAGACTTCAAAGAGCTTCTTTATATTATGTTTGCAACTACAGAATAAGTGAGTGGGACTTAAGAGAGATTAGAGACCACTCATTCCGCTGACACGGAAAAGTGAGGATATCAGGTCCTCTCAGAAGATAAGCGGGAAGATCATGTCGTCACTAGATCGTCTACGGGATGAGCAAGATCGCCGCAAGGCAGGAGGCCCAATTGGAGGAACGGAAGTATGACCTGGCGTACCTGGTGACCATCTGTCTGGTAGCTAATTGTGAGCAGAGGAACAACAGCATGGGATGATGGAATGGCTTGGCTTCCCTGGCGAAGCGATGCAAGATGACCTAATCAACACAGGACACCCAGACTCCTCTCAATGGCTTTTTGAGCGCGAGGAGTTCATCGACTGGCTCACAGCTGATGGGCAGTCAAGTTTATGGCTTCGAGGTCCACGTAAGACTCACTCCGCCCCCTCTGGTGCATGGCTTGTTGGCGTCAGTCAAATTACTAAGGAATGAATTAGAGGGCTCTGGCAAAACCATCATTGTGTAAGGGTTCCATATCTCATTGTGTCTACTGTCATTCATAAGGGTGAGTTAGTTCACGAGTCATCGACTTTATCCAGACCCAGTGTCTAGACCAGGATGCGGTCCTACTCTTCCATTTCTGCAGATTTACGGACGAGGCAACGAAATCGCAAGACCAGCTTCTCGGGGCTCTCATCACACAGCTTCTTGATAACCTGCCAGAAGACTCGCCTCTTCCTGATAGCCTCACCTCGATGATGAAACGATCTCGATTCTCGTCATATCCCCGCGTCTCAAGACTCAAACCGGTCTTCTTAGAGCTTTGCAAAGCTCACGCAACAGTCTACATCGTTGTTGACGGTTTGGATGAACTTGAAAATCTCAGAGACATCCTAGGTATCTTTCGATCTCTCAATATGTCACAGACCACTTCGATAAAGCTTTTCGTCTCCAGCAGACCAAACACAGAGCTGAAGACTGCCTTCGCATCATACATCAATGTTGAGATCTTGCCCGAAGATGTTGAGTCTGACGTACAAATGTTTGTGCGTGATAACTTGGAGGAACTCCTCTCTGGGAACGAAGAGGAAATAGACCCTGGTCTACTTGTTATGGAACTCGCCACGCGAGCTGGTGGCATGTCAGTTACGCCCGATATGTCCTTGGCGAAACCATACTTACTCAAGTTGATCATCCAGGTTTCTCTGGGCTGTATGTCAGGTCCAATACCTGTCGCGTATTAGGACCACCATCACCCCGGATCTCATCGCAACACTACCACCAGCACTCGAGAGCATCTTCGAGAACGTACTCATGACGCTCGAAGACAAGGACCGGAAGATGACTCTCCGCATATTGCAACTGGTCATGTTTGCAATGAGACCCTTAGATCTCTCCGAAATTGACGAGGCCATAGCGATTTCACCCTCCAGCAAAAGTCTAGCCGGGCTGCTTCGCCTGCGCCAGAAAGATGTCATACTGGAACTGTGTGGTTGTATGCTCTCTCAGTCGCCTCGAACCAAGAAGATCCAGCTTGCACACAGTTCAGTTTACGAATTTCTCACTCGGAAGACGACTGAGTCCAGTGCGGTCCACGACCATTTCCACTTCGACGACATGACTTCGCATAGAGAGCTCTTTGTGACTTGCGTTCGGTACCTCAGCATGAACGATTTCGACTCGGACACATTTCGGGAGACATTTCGCCTCGCTCAAGATGGGGGCCACGCCGACTCGGATCTGCAGGCTTTTGCAAAGGCACCATTCCTCGATTATGCCGTCAGCCACCTCATTTCTCACATGAAGAAAATTGAACTTGCGAATGATTCCGATAACCGCGGTTCTATGGGTTTAGCCGAGAAGTTCTTCTTTGAAGATAGCTCCACGTTTACGTCTTGGCTCTTGGTTCGACAATATCTTGATGGCACGTACAGAAACCCGCCTGGTAGCAACGCATATCATATTGCTGCCATTTACGGCATTGAACAGGTCTTTGGCTTGGGTCCTGATCAGTACGGCCTCAAAGCACAAACCTTAGACGGCAGAAATGTGCTGCATCTCGCACTAGAGAACCAGCAGTGGGAGATCGTTGACGCAATTCTGCGTCTGGGGTTGGGAGATCTCCTTAGCGACTTCGATAAGCAAGGACGCTCTCCTCTGCACGTTACGGTTGAGCTCGGCAATACCTTCATGGTTCAGCGCCTCATAGAAGGAGGAGCAGACCCCAACCTCGCCAGTCCCCTCAACCAGGGCCGAACTCCAATCTTCATGGCTGTAGAAAACAAGTGGGATGAGCTCACCGAGTATCTCTCAGGCAAAGCCAATCTAGATATTTGCCTTGACGATGGACGCTCGCTCCACCACGTAGCCGCGCAGTCTGGAAGCCCCGAATGGATCACCGCGTTAGAGGGTAGTCATGGAGGCAGTACAACGACGCCGAGCCCTGCCAACCGTGTCGGTAGCGTAAGACGCGACGATAACGGCTGGACACCTCTCCATTACGCGGCAGATCTTGGGCATACAGACATTATTCCCAGGCTCATGGCCAGTGGATATGCGGCTAATGAGGTGGACAAGAACGGTTGGACTCCGTTGCACGCAGCGATTCGAAGGCGCTTTATCAAAAGCGCTAAAGCGTTACTAGATCGTATGGCGCCTATGCCTCTTAGTGACGATTCTGTCAGCAGACTCCGAACCAACAGGCCCGGCTCCTCCATGACAGTTCCTGAGCCATATGATTACTATGGCCTACAAACGGACACAAGCTCCTTCACATTTTCCAACCCTTCAGCGTCGCGGCCTTCAGAATCCGGAAAATATGGTGCTCATTTCAATCCGAGAAATGAGCCAACGCCTGTGGCCGCCAGTCAGCCACAACCAGCATACACTTACAATAGCCTACGCTCACAGCTCACCGCCCCAATCTCAGGTCTTCTGTCGGCTGTTACCGGGAGAGCAGCGCGGCCACCTGGGGGCGATCCGGCGACGAGTCAACTAAACAGAATACCAACATCGCCAGAGCCAGCGGTCAGCCTGCGGCGAAATCCACGACCTGGGGGCGGAGACGACAGGTTCCCTTCTAGCTCTTCGACCAGGGAAGCTTTGCGGCATCGAGCCTTGTCACCACTTTATGTGGCCGTTGCAGATGCATACACGGAAGGCGTCGAACTCCTCGTCAAGCATCGAGCCAAGCTTCCGGCCTGGGGCCTGACGGAGGAGGAAAAGGCCAAGTGTCTTAAAATGGCGCTCGAAATATCCAATACTTCCATTGCCATGCCTCTTCTCGAGCTCTTTGGGGAGGAGAACATTTGGGATGCCATACCGCAGTTGATTGTAACAGGAAACGACGAAATCATTGGCAAAGTCAAGGCCCGTATCTCAGAAGAAACGGCTTACAAAGTGCTGATTGGAAAGGGCCTGCACACTAAACAAATCGACATGGTTAGCTTCGTCCTGACGACGTGGCCGAAGCCCTTCGCGGATTTGGCTGTATTGGCAGTTGAACTTTGCGCTGCTAGTATGCCGAATCAGGACACAGCGACCTCTGAACTGCTTGAAACCATGGTCCAAAAGTACGTTGCTGATTTCATCCGTGACACCGATCAAGCCGCACAAGACGGGAAACAGTCATCGCTCCTGACACAAGCTCTGGAGGGGAGACATTTGAGGGCCGCGACAGTACTCATTGACAGGGGCGCCGATCTGCATGTTCGAAATAGAGAAGGCGAAACCCCGTTGCTCTCTCTGCCGCGTATCATACCCGCATATGCGAGGAAGCCCACAACACTCGATACCTTAACCTAGCCGACCGAATGGTGATTCAAGGCTGTGATGTCAGCATGACCGATCTGAAAGGGCAAAATCTCTGCCACAAAGCAGCCACGCAGGGTAATGCCAAACTGATGGAAGAA